GAATTTTTCAGTTCGGTTCATTTCTGCTTTTCGTATTATCATGGATACGCATCTAAAAAGTGTCGTAGATGTGAATGTGAACCTATCCGTATGGAACAATATACAATTTTCAAAATAACCTCGTCAAAAATAGTATTGGAACAACTTCGTCAAAGTCCGTCATAGCGAAAATACTCAAATTTGCCTTATCATTGCCGTGACACTTCAATTCGATCGATCTTCTGCTATTGTACCTTCAGATATATTAGACACATTGTATATTTTTGAAACAGCTGGACAATGCTCTTCACTTCTAGTTGTTTTTTTTTCAATATATAAGCAGTCCACTAACAGTGTGTATTTCAGTCTTGGACCAGGATGATTCTTGCGAAAAAGAGATTGGAAAGGTTGAAAGAGCTGAAACTGAAGCGAGAGGAAGCTACACAAAACGCTGCCCCATCCACACAGGTAACACGGAGAACAACTGTTTCTTCCTATTGACGGCAAATACAGTGCAGGGCTACGATCGCTTTAAGCTAGCTTATACTTGTGTTTGGTTGTTTATGTCTTTTCTGTGCTTCCACTGTTCCACTTGCTCCACATCCCCGAACTTTTTTAATCACGTTGAAAATCATTGAGGTTGACGGAGGGAAGGTAAGGCTGGGCAACGTCACGACCAGGGTCAACCGTCCGTTGAACAAAGTCCAACGCATGGCTCTCTCTCTCGGTCCAACGTCGGTCCACTGTCGGTCCAACGTAACGGTTGACCCTGGTCACGAGTATAGCTGTCGGTAGAAGCCATGGCTTTTTTACTACTAGTGAGCTGACCGAAACTAGCGCCTTTTTGTGAGCATCTCAACCCTCATTTTATCTATAAATAAAAATTGCTTCCAAGATTCCACAGGGAGTATGTGGTAAGCATTTTATAATACGGCCAAAAATCTAGTTGCTTGGGTACATCATAGTTGAAGAAACAAATAAGTCAAGATGTTGCTCCCTATTAGAAAGGAATATCGGTTCGATCGCACACTTAGCCTTCAAGCTTATAATTTAGCTTGACCCAGGGCTTCTTAGTTGCAGATCAGTATCATGGTAAAGCTAATCTGACCTGTTTTGTAGAATTAATGCGATTTCCAAAAGTATTCTGTTTGTCATCAATAGAAAACTAAGCCTTTAAGGTTCTCGGTCTTCTTCTGGTATGGGCCATGCAATTAATCCATATTCAAAAATTCGTAGACTCGTATTCTTAGAAAACACTTGAATAGCGTTATGACCATGCACTGACTTTTGAGGACGAGCAGTCCTGATCCGTCGTGTTTAGATCGAAATTACCGAGCTGTGGTGTAGTGCTATTGATAACATTGATTTCATGTACCACCTTGGAGAAAGATGCTGAAATGTGGCGCTTCACGGAAATTCATAAAAGTTGATGGAGGTCCTTCTTTGAACTCTTTAGTAAGTAACTGGCGATGAGTCCCAGACCGTATAAATTAGGCAACCATGTTCTGTTTCGGGCTGTCCACTATGTTTACGAGCCTCCCCCTCTCCTAGCGGGCCGAACGCGAAGTCCTTCGTTGTGTATTCTGTGACCCTCGTTTTACACTTTTTATAAGAGTCATGTAACAAGATCCTTGGATTTGAAACCCTGTTTCATGTTAATAGGTAGATTCTGGCGTCCCGGAACAGCACGAGTGTTTATGGGAAGGTTATATTGATTTGATGCCCGATCATTCATAATTCCGTCGTCTTTGAATGGAACATTACCTTACAAGTAAATTTACAGCCAGGCCTCAACGTCGTTTTCGAGGATACTCAGGAGTGCACACCCTCAACATCGGCCGGCCATGTAAGAATCAGAGAGCCATAATAAAGTTCACTATAGATAATTTATCATCTCCAGGAAAAATCGGGAAGACGTCTTGATATGGAGCGTGTGCTTGAGCTGCAGCGAAACATTCGTGAAAATGAACGTTTGCAAAAGATGTGCTCCAATATTTTAGAGGTAGCCCTGCCATTACCTTCGATTGATGTGTGCGCTTTTTTCGCATTCCACTGCACAGAAGTGTCTAGTAATAAAAGATGACACAATTATTATTTTAAGGCTTGCGGGCGAAAATTGTCCGAGGAAGATCCAGCTGGAGACGTTGCAGTCAGAGATGATACTGACAAACAGGTATTCGATCATCCCTTATGTGCATAGGTCTAGTTCGACAAGGAATACACTACGTTTCATGAATATAGTACACCCTATCTCTCGCTACTCCAAACGTGCATTTTTGAAAAATGGGTGGTCAGTAATGGATTTCTCGTGACGAGAAACCTCGGCAATGACTTTCTGAAGAAATTTCAATTCCGAGCAACTTAAATATATTCTTCGGAACGAATTTCACCATTTCACAAACATGACCTTACATCATGTGTTGAGAAATTTCTTTTTGACAAAAGAACCTTCCAAGTTCTTAATAATGGGATGTTTCTCCAACAATCATAGGGACCTCGCCGAATGGCAAAAGTAGCTCTTCGAGAACTCTCCGTACTCTACAGAATTAGTAGGACATCAAGCAAAGGGGTGCCCCAGCCATTCAGTCGCGCAAGGTAACCCTGTGCCATAAGAGGATCTTCCGCTGAAATTACGTCGCTTCCAAACACAACGGTCAACGGCCCAATCTCTTGGACGTTTTCCACAGCGAATTGGAGACATGGGATTTTGTGACGCTTCCATAATCTTGGTGATGTTCTGCTCGGCTGAGTTACTCTCCAGGTTTTGCTCACGTAAAGCTCCATTTCAGCAAGGTCCTCGTTCGCTCACGCAGCGGCCAACGTCGCGCGTGGCGACTGGTGCTGCGTTTTTTTGTATGGGTCTTGGCTTAACGGTCCTTGTCCATAAGTTGCTGGTGGGGTTAGAGAACTGATAAGACCAAAGTTCCAGACATCAGTGAGCCAACAAGAGTCACCTTAAGATCTCCGCAGTTATTTAAGCCTCACTGTACAGAGCTTGTGCCATGTAAAGGTTGTCCTTTTGAACATAATTTGACTTCTTTATTAATCAACTGCCTGAATGTTATCAGAGAGCGATAATCTGGCTCAATCGGAAAATATTACGTTCCAAGACGCAGTGGAACGGTGAGGAAGGCACTAACATCAGTATGACAGAATAAGTTTGTAAATAATGGCAAGGGACTTTAAGGGGCAGGTGATCATATACCGTGTTTCACGACTGGAAACTTCATCTAATCCTACATTCCCCAATGCTAGAACCCTGAATTCTAGCCACGGCCGACGTCGCATCGCGGGCTGCGGCGGCTGGCGCGGCGACCTAGCCACCGCCACGATTGAATTGTCACGCACCCCTCTTCACTATGCTCTCTGCTAAACGGTTAGTGTCCACGACTAGATCCCGACGAGGGGTTAGCCAGTTGTAGGGCGGGCAGCGCCGTGTGTGCGATCTTACTAGA